CGGCTCATCACTAGTCAGTATGGCACATTTCCGTCCACGATGTGGTTTAATGCCAAGACAGATTACAATTTGTTACAGGAGCAGAGTACTGTTTCTTTTTAAAAATTATATATATTGCAAAGCCAGGTATACTTTCACATGCAAAGGCAGTTTTTCCCAGGAAACATTTACAGGAAGTAGTCTGGGGTGCGTTGAGTAACATGAGACTCTCCACGACAAGGTACTGGGTCAGTCCGAAAAAACAAGTACTTTAAGATGTTATGCAGTTCCATGACAGCAGCCTCATTCCACAACGAAAACAGTAATTTGGTGCACTGAATATGGTAACCACATTCCAATCGTGACACCAGTTGTATCCCTTTATTACAAGTGAGTGGGCATGAGAATCCAATGTGAGACTGTTGGTGTGGTTAAATGTTTCAGAAATATCTTGTCCAAATGTGTAGTGAGCACCACACGGTGAAATACCCCATCCACCGTGATCGTCTGAATCTGACCGTAGAGATCGCACACTGGGCTCTCCTGTGGAACTTCTTGCAGACAATCCATGGTGTCCCAGCCCCACAGCCCCCTCCCTGCCTGCCCTGACTCCGCCTCAGCTCACAGCCAAAGTTCAATTCTTTATTCTTTTGTGTCAGTGCAGGTTTTCTTCTGACATCATTCTCTTCCATCTGAAAACCTTTTAGGATTTTTTTTTTAGGCAACTCTAATAACAAATTGTCTCAACTGCTCTTTATGTTTGAAAAAAAGCCTTTTTGTTTTTTTGAGACCAGGTCTCACTGTGTAGTTCAGGCTGGCCTTGAATTCACTATGTAGCCCAGGCTGGCCTCAAACTCATGGCAATCCTCTTGCCTCAGCCTCCAAAGTGCTGGAATTACAGGTGTGTGCTACCACGTCCAGCAAGACTTTTATTTTCATGTTTGAAAATTTATGACTAGTTATAACTTCTAGGTTGGTACTTTTTTCCAAATTCTTTAAAAATGTCTTTGAGGGCCAGGGATTTAGCTCAGTGGCATTACACCTTCCTTGCAAGCACAAGGTCCTAAGTTCGATCCCCAGTACCTCCCCGCAAAAAAATGTCTTTCAATCATCTTCTAGCTTGCATCTTTCTTAGAAGAATCTATAGCAGTTTGTCATAACTATTCTTTTGTGCGCAATATCTTTTTTCCCCTCTGATTTTCTCTTTATGACTGATTTTTAACAGTTTGATCACAATGTGCCTTGGTCATTTTCATATTTCTTCTATTTGGAATTGATTAACTTCTTAGACTGTGGATTTATGTACAGTTTTCATCAAATTTGGAAATTTTTTGGCCAATATTTCTTCAAAATTTTTCCCCACTTCTTTCCTTTCTTCTCTGGGACTCTGGTTCCACATTAAGTTGGTTTATGTTTTACCACAAATCTAGCTGTTTTCATATTTCCTCAAACATTTTCCCCCTCTCATTCATTTTGAGTGATTTTCTACTTTTGTGGTTTTGTTGTTGTTGTTGTTGTTTTGGGGTTGTTTTGTTTTGTTTTGTTGGTACCAGGGATCAAACTTGGGTTGTCGTACTTGGAAAGCAGGTGGCGGAACCACTGAGCTAAATCCCCGGCCCTGCTTTTGTGTCTCTTAAGGCCATTCATCATTTTGTCTGCGGTGCCTATTCTGTTAATCACTGTGAAACTTTCATTTGAGATACTCTGTTTCTCATTGGTAGAATTCCCATCTATTTGTTTTTGTCTTTGTTCATTTTTTATTATTGTCATTTCTTTTAGATCTTGGACATGTGTTATAATTATAGTAACTTTTGTTTACAGGTCACATTTTTCCTACTTCTTTATATGTACAGTAATTTTTTTTATTAACTACTAGACATTGTAAAGGTCACATCTTGAGAATTTGGATTTTATTGCCTTTTTAAAATGATGTTTTAAAGCATTATTATGGTTTATTTAAAGTTATTTGAAGGTTTAAGATAGTTCCACCACTAAAGATTCTTTGGGGATGTCTGTTAAGTGACCCCATGTTCAAGACGATTTCTCTATTCTAGCTGGTGAGTCTCAGTTTGCTGCCCTGTATGAGCTTCAGAAATTATTTTGCCTACACTTTGTTCTTAATTGTTGTTTGTTCTAACAGTGGCTCTTTGCTTAGCCTCACAGACTTTTACTCAGTTTCTGAGCAGATTGGTATTTACCCAAAGACTCCAGGGCCCTTGTGATTTTTTTTAAATTAAATTGAATTTATAGGTACATTCTAGGTAGACAGTACAGTTGCATTCATTACTGGGATCTTGTACCTTTACATGCCAGGTCTTGGTTCTCATTTTTTCCCCTTGTCCTCACCCTCCCTTCACCCTCCCCTTCTCTCCCCCCACTTCAAACACTTTAATTCCATTTTTACATTTTCTCATATTTTTTTCCTTTTCCCTTGTTCCCCCTTGCCTTTCCTTCTCCCTGTCCCTACACCTTTGGTCCTTTTCTTTCTATTTCACATTGGTAATTGTCCCGTTAGGATCTTGAGTCCTATTTTAGTTTTTCACACCAGAGAAACTATTTGGTATTTGCATATGTGTGACTTATTTATTTCACTTAGGAGTATATCCTCAAAATGTACCCATTTGCCTGTGAATGACTCTACTTTCTCATTCTTTATGGCTGAGTAGTATTCCATTTTATAGAAAAACCACATCTTCTTTATCCATTTTCCAATTGATGGGCAGATGGGCTGTTTCCAAGTTTTAGCTATTACAAACTGTGCCGCTATAAACATGGGTGCTCATATATCACTGTGGTATGATTCTTTTGGAAAGATACCCAACAGAGGGATGGCTGGGTCAAATGGAACCTCTAGTCCCAGCTCTTTGAGGTATCTCCATATTGATTTCCATAGTGGTTGCACCAGTCTGCACTCCCACCAACAACGGAGAAGGGTTCCTTTCTCCCCACAACCCCGCCAGCATTTTTATTGGTTGATTTCTTGATAGCAGCCATTCTGCACTGCAAAAGAAACCATCAGCAGAACTAAGAGACAACCTACAATGTGAGAAAAAAATTTTACCAGCTGCTCCTCAGACAAAGGACTATTATCTAGAATATATAAAGAACTCTAAACAATCAGCCCCCCCAATATAAAGACCTGATTGAAAAATGGGCATCTGAAATGAACAGATATTTCTCAGACAAAGAAATAAAAGCAGCAAGTAAATACATGAAAAAATGTTCCACATCACTGGTCATTTGAGAGATACAGATGAAAACAACACTGAGATTCCACCTCACCCCACAAAGAATGGCTGCTATCAAGAAATCAAGCAGTAACAAATGTTGGCGCGGTTGTGAGGAGAAAGGAACCCTTCTCCGTTGTTGGTGGGAGTGCAGACTGGTGCAACCACTATGGAAATCAATGTGGAGATACCTCAAAGAGCTGGGACTAGAGGTTCCATTTGTGATGGTTTTTTAACTGCCTCTTGGGTTCAGCTTCCTCCCCTTCCATGCACTGCTCTGGAAATTCTAGCTGATTCTTAGAACTTTGATTTCTTTCTTTGTTTTGTTTGTATTTGTTTTTCGAGACACGGTCTCAATATGTAGTCCAGGCTGGCCTTGAACTCAGTATGCAGCCCAAGCTGGCCTTGAATTCACGTGTTCTACCGCCTCAGCCTCCCGAGTATAGGGATTAGAGGCATGCACCCAGCAGAATTTTGATTTCTCTCTTCTCGTCTCATCTCCTCTCATACACTGTTGTGCTCTACTTGAATTCCTCCTTTCCTGAACAGTCTAGAAATTGCAGAAAGGCAGAGCCAACAGTAGGGCTTACTTCGCTTATTTCTGCCCATCAGGGATCACAGTCCATGCTGCCACTTGTTTCGTGTCTGAAAACAATTGTTTCGTAAGTCTTGCACACCTTCCTAGCTATTTGTGCCAAAAGGGTAGGTCCTGTAACAGTTAAACTGTCATATGTAGAAGCAGAATGCTCTTCAGTTTTAATTGTGTTTGAACTTTTTCTGAGTAAATGGCACACTCTGTTTCCTTTCCTTTTTTCATTAAGATTCATGTTGTGCGTACACCTACAACTCATTCCTTCTCAACACTTTACTGTAATTTTTCTCTGTGTTTGTACTGCTGTTAATTTTTCCACCCTCCCATTGATGGGCATCTGACTTCTTTCTGGTCTTTTGCTCTTAAGCACAGCTGTGCCGTACGTATTTTGCTCAGTGCCTCCCAATGTACATCTAGGGGTGAACTGCACCATGCAGCTTCCTTAGAAGAGAAAGTCTGCTCTTTGAGGCAGCGCGTGGCAGCACTCTGAGGAACCCGGTGGAAAAGGGTAGTTCAGATGAGGGGCCCTCTCTGCACACGTGGAGTGCCCTTGCAGAAGGCTGTGTTCAGTGTGGGCTCAAGCTACTGCCAGCGTGGGCAAGAGGTGTGGTGTGAGGGAACTCTGCGGAGACTTCCTGGCTACTGCAGGACCGGTGTTGGACAACCATGTGGAAAAAGTGTGCATGAACTGTTGGTACAGATGATCCAACTTCTGAAAGTGTGTGGTTCCTTCCTGCAGTGGATGCCAGGGAGCCTCTGAAAGTCCTCAGGTTGTGGCGTAACATGACTGCAGCCGTCTTCTCTCTACATTTTCATGCCCTTTATGCAACTATGCCAAGCTTTTCATGACCTCTTTTGTGTATATAATTTTTTGTTGGGTTTCATTTTATTTTTCAGTTTTATTTTCTGAATTCATTCCTTTTCCTTCTACTAACCCAAATGCTGCTCCCCTTTTTCTTCTTTTTATGTTCTAAATTAAATCCTTTGTCCTTATCCTTTCACATTTTAAAATTTTGATTTGTACAACCATCTCCTCATTTGCCACTTTAGAAATAGTATGTCTCTAAAAAAAGAAGTAGTATATTTCTTCAGGAATGGCATATAAGTCACCTGTCAACTTTGTGCTTGGTCCTTGGTTTTATTTTTGTATTTTCCTCCTGAACTAAGCTTTGGAGTAACAAGTTTCCTTCTTTGTCCTTTAGGTCCTACCTTGAGCACAAGACCTCCATGAACTATATGCTGGCAACACGCCTCTTCCAGGACAGGTGGGGATTTGCAGAATTTTTAAATTTAAGATTTGCTCATAAGACTAAGAGAAAGTATAAAAGTCTTCATATAAAATATGTGATAGAAAGGGCCATGCAAAAGACACGGTATAATACCTTATTTTCCAGAATTTATCAATAACTCAGTAGTTTTTTTGTTTGTTTTTTTTGTTTGTTTGTTTTTGTAGCGGGGATCGAACTCTGGACCTTGTGCTTGTGAGTCAGGTGATGGAACCACTGAGCTAAACCCCCAACTACTCAGTACTCAGTAGTTTCTAATATTTTCTTTTCTTTTTTCCAGTACTGAGGATTGAACTCTTGTATCATTTTCAAAAGCTAAAAATTGAACCTTATAAAGATCTTTGAGCCATTTTAACACATGCCCTGAACTTTTATTTTTCCAAGAAACTTCATACTTGGTGCTTTTCTTACCTTAGACTCAATTTTACCAGACAGCAATGATCTGTTTTTCTAAATAGAAAAAGATTAGAATTATCAGATCAGAAAAAGAGAAGGGGAGGTAATTAAAAAAATAAATGCAAGATTTGTAAGAAATGACAACTGATAATCTCAATACTAAGGGAAACAGGGAAAAGAAGGAAAACAGACCCTGGAATTCTAATGCGCACAGCCAGGGATGACTTTGTCCCACATATTTTTGGCCCCTCTGATGCATGACTGCCGTGAAGTACAGTTCAGTAATTAATTAGAAAAAGTAGGTACTGTAGTTAGTGAAATTTATATACTTTGGAGAACATATTTTAGTTTTTTTGAAGGGTCCTTACAATAGATACTCAGATTTCAACCATTTCTTGGAGTTTCATGATCTAGTATCAGGAAATACAGGGCATTAATACTTTCTGTATATTTTTTGGTAAATACCATTGATTAATTACATGTGTAGCTTTTGATGAAAGGGATTCTTAAACGTACTTGGAAGACATAGACTTTTAGATCTTTATATTTAATTTTGAATTCTTAGGTCCTGTCCCTCCCTTCCGCCCCCAAAAAACTTTGACAAGGTTTCTTTATCTTTTGAATTCAGATACTCACCATGACGTGTTCTGGTTTGTCATTTTTTAATATTTTAGTTTTGAAGTAGAGAGTCCTTTCAGTCTAAAGATTTAAGTCTTTCTACTTGGGAAACATTTCCCTTATTCTCTCCTTCCTCTTTGGTGGAATTTTGTTAGCTGTATTTTGTCTGTATCTGCCTTATTGGTTTTACTTTTTTCATACTCCATCTCATCTCACCTTCATGTTCTGAGAGACTTTGTCTTTCTCCTTCTTCCGTAAGGAGGATTGAACCCAGGGCCTCACATGTGCTAGGGGACTGCTCTACCATTGAGCTACATCCCAGGCCGTTCTTGGAGATTTCTCAAACTTTCGTCTTCTGCACCTTTAAATTGGTCCTACCATGATGAAAGTTCAGTTTTTTTTAATGTTAGTATTATTTTAATATTCAAGAATTATTTTTACTTCTTGATTAGTTTTCATATTTCCTGGTATGTCTTAGATTGTTTAAACTTCCTTTCGGTCCTTTACGTTATATTACTTCTTTGTGTTTGTTCTGTTTGTTCATCTTGTTCTTTCTAGTTTTTACTGCCACAAGTCTACAAATATTTGGTGATTTTCTATTGTCTAGTCATTTTTAAAGGTAATGGACTTTTTGCTTAGCGTAGATCATTGGCATGGGTTAACTCGGAACGTGTAGGTCTGTTTCCGAACTGACTCTGTGCTTGAGGCTGGATCTTTCCATACAAGGGCTTCCTATAAGGGGGAAGGGAGGGCATGTAAGTACGCTGGAAACCACCATGCTAGCAAAATTAGGAAGCATTCCCTTAGGAGCAGTACAACAATAAAAAATTTGAGGTACAATAATACATTTTTCTATTAACATATTAAATAGCAAGTCCTAACAGCAGGTCTGATACCACAGTTTCAAGAATAAGTACTGACATTTTGAAATACTTGGGACAATTCTAAGTAATATGAAAAATAGAGAGAGAGAGATGTTTCTGTTGATAATGAAGCTATACTGATCTCCTGCTCTGGATGGTTTCCTACGTGTATATAGGAGGAAGTGCTAAATTCCAGTTAGAGGATAGAATTGTTTTTCCCATCCAAGTTGGTGTACTCCCTGCATTTTTTCTTCAGGACCCAGTTAATAACTCCTGATTATAAAGTATTATAAAAAATTTTGATTAAGAAAATGTAAATTCCCTTGTTTAGCAAAGAAATGCCCTCATGACCTACTCTTGCCTACCATTTTAGCCTCATATCTGCTTTTCCATACCAACCCATAATCAGGCCATATTTTCTTTTCTATCTCCTAATTCTTAGAAACTCCCTGCCCTTCTTTTACGGTGACTTTCAGTCCATCCCTAATTTCTAGCTGTGTTCTCCTCTTACCTAGTCTATGAGGGAATATGCCCAATCCCTCTTTTATCCTTCAGTCTGATTTAGATTCCTAGATTGTATTATAATTTCTGTTCACTGACTATAGGTTTGTTATGTTCATCTTCATTATTATCCAGAGCCTACCACATGGTAGGCACTCACACAGAAATATGCATTGAAAACAGGAAATTGTTTTTGTTCCAAGACCTTCCCTCTTCCACTAAATCTCTTTTCTTTAACCTGAATTGATGTTTTCTCTTGCAAATCAAATTGTGTTAGGTTGATTTTTCTACCGTGTCTCTCCTATCCTCCACTCCTGCCTTGCCTCCCCATCCTCACTGCCACACAGCATCTGCCATGGCATTTTGCTGGATGGCAGTATTTTTAACCCTCACTGCACATTACTAACTCCTGGAGATCTTGTAAATCACATTTATGCCCTGCCCTCATCCCTGGAGGGGAGTGAAGTACAGCGATCCTTATGAAAAGCTGCCCGATGATTGTAAGGTGGAGATGCGGTTACACGTTACTGGAGAAAACCATTATCTCGATGAAAAAAATTAAAGTCATCTTGAGACTTTGTGATGGTACTGTGACAATATCAAGACATTAGCAGGGATATGGGAAAGGAAAGACAAAACATCTTGGTAAAGACTTTCACTTATTTTCTAAAAGTACAATCTACACTGCATTTGTCTCTCCAAAAATGATCAGAAGTTATGTGCTGTGTATTCACATGACATTTTTGAAATGACAGTATTTTAGAATGTACAGATTGTTGGGTGATAGGGATTAGGTGAGAGGTGTGTGGTTCTGAAAGTCCTTATGGGGTGCCCTAACTGTTCAGTATCTTGGCTGTGGTGATAGACACATGAACCTACAAAGATAATAAAATAGGGCTGAGCTAAACATACACATACACTTAAAACTGGGGACCCCTCCCCAAGTATTAAGTAAAAGGAAATTGAGAAGATGATGTTTAAAAAACAAAACCAAAAGTCCATTTAAACATAAACATGCATGGTGCTCGATTCTTATGGTTGGAGCCCAACCCTGGTTTAGAGACGATGGAGACCATCCTTTTCTTTACAGAGGGTTCTTTTTTTCTTTTCTGTTCTTTTTTTTTTTTTTTTTTTTTTCTGTTTTTTTTTTTTTTTTTTTTTTCAGTTGTGGAAAATCTGTTTCTGGTGAATATCATTTTGGAACCCATGAGAATTGAGCTTCGTTTCCTTTCCTAAAATAGTTCAATGAAAGGAGAAGAGCTCTGCTGTCTGAGGCCTAAGCCCTGGGCTCAAATGTAAATCCTTTAAGCCCTGACCATGGGTAGGTTACAGCATTACTTTATCCTTCTCCTTTATATAAATTGGGCTAATTAACAACCTCTTCGCATGATTGCTGTGAGCATTATGATTCGCTTTGGAAGTAGATAGACATATGCAAGTCATCGTTACTGGTTTTTTTCCTAGAATTTCTTGCTTTTTCCTTTTTGTTTTTTGTTGATCCCTCAGCTCACTGTGGTCTAGCCTTCTCTGAGGATGTTCTCACTTGCCCTCTCTGACCTTAGTTCATGTTGACTTTCTATAATTAGAATTTTAGGAGTACTTACGTGTGTGAACACCGGAGTAAATATCTGAATACCGTTCTCTAACCTAGTTGTCCTTTCTGCTTCTTTAGGGGAAACACAAGAAGAAGCTTATTGACAGGAAGAACACGGTAACTGATTCCTAAAAGTTGAGAAATTCTTCCCATGTGCATAATGTATGACTGTGCACAGACTAAGCATAGTACTTTACATAACCATGTTCAGTTTGGCTCTGAATGAATGCTAACATAAATATGTTTTCTATTGAAAAAGTATCCTGTGACACTTTTTGCAAACTATGAAATTTCCTCTTATAACAACATGACTCTTTTTAACTGATAATAATACTGTTTTCATTTGACTGTGTGAGAGAGACTAGAGGATTAGTGAGATTTCAAGAGTACTGCCCCATTAGACTCAAATAAGTTTATGATTTGGCCTTGACATACCTGAGGTGTGTAGCTGTGTGCCTTATGGGATGAGCTGCAACTGCTTGTATTTGCACACAACTGGAAGTGTGCAAAACACCTGTGGCTCTTTGAGCAGGATAGAGAAAGGTCTTAGAGGAAAGGCTGAGATGGCTTTGTCTCACAGAAGACTACAGCTACCACAAAAACTCTTAAAACCTAAACATAGCTTCTGATTATAGAGAGTTTGAGACATTACAGGTATCCCCTTTGTGCTATATATATATTTTTTAAAATAATATGACAACAGTAAGAAACTTCTTATCTCTAGTTTTTTGCTTTACATTTAAAGTCAGTTAAAATAAACTTTGTTTCTTATCTAAGCCCTTTGAAATACAAGTCTTAATTCTTCTAAAGAAGGCATATGATTGCCTTTTAAATAAGGCAAAACTGAAATCAAGTTTCTAGCTTGTTGCTAAGTGAAAGTTACACTTTGTTTATAACTTTTCTCTAGTTTTTAGAATATCTGTAGTGTTGATATTGCTATCAACTTGGGAATTGAGGAAAAGAAAAAAATCATAAACAGTGAGAATACTTAAAAATCAGTAGGTTCTGTGCTTTCTTCATTTTTTTAGGACTCATTTGTATTACCACCAGTGGGGGCTTTTTGGTGGTGTTGAGGTATAAACAAATGAAAGCTGGCACATGATACCATATACCAGAGTATGAAACAAATTTAACTACACTTAAAAGGATTGAAATAATACAAAGCATGTTCTTTGACCGCGGTGGAATTGGACATCGATAGCAATAGATACAATGAAATAGAACAGTATTTATAATCCCCAAACATTTAGGAATGAAACAACTCATTTCTAAATAATTTATGAACCAAGGAAGAAAGGACAAGGGAAATGAGAAACTGTTTTGAACTTGATAATAAAAATAAAACATCAAAATGTGTGATTCATTAAGATCTTTGAGAGAAATTTATAGCTTTTGATCTTATATTTAAAAAGTAAGGACTAAAATCATTGATTTAATGTCTATATTAAGAAACTGGAAAAAAAAAAACAGCATACACCAAAGTAAGTAGCAGAGAGGAAACAATAAAGGGCACAGATCAGGGCTGGGAATTTGGTTCAGTGGTTCTGCTGTCTGCCTTGCAAGCACAGGGACCCAAGTTCGATCCCCAGTACCAAAAAAAAAAAAAAAAAGATCAATTAAATGAAAGACAAATCTTAAAAAAAACTAATGCAGTCCAACATTTATTCATTGATAAGCTATCAAAAGTGATAAATAATCCCAAGTAAACTTGTTGAGGAAAAAGAGGAGAACACTAAGTACTTTGTCAAGTTCAAATAAAGAAGAGAAGATACTATTACAGATCCAACAGATAAAAAATGCATAGCAAGAGGGGCCCTTTCTGTTAGTCTGATGCTTAGGTGAAATAACTCAATTCCTTGTGTGTATGAGAGAGAACACTCAAAATGACAAAAGCCAAAGTACAAATTTTGAAGAGTACTCTGTCTATTGAGAAAATTGAATTTGTATTCAAGATCCTTTCTACAAAGAAAACTCCAGACTCATGGGTTTTACAGTGAATTCTAGCAAGCATGTGAGGAAAAACAACACTAGTCTTACACAATCTCTTTTAAAAATACAGGGATGGACACTTTCCAGCTCTTTCTTGTGATACTAGCATGACTATGATTTAAAAACCTGACAAGGATGTTTTACAAAAGGAAGAAAATTAAAAGCTCAAATCTTTCACGAGGATAGACACACAATTTTTATTAACACTATTAATAGATCTAGCCAGGTGCAGTATGTTCTTGTAGACGCAACTGCTTGAGGCTGAGGGAGGAGGATTGCTTAAGCTCAGGAGTTCGAGCCCTTCCTGAGCAATTTAGCAACTTAGCAAGATCTTGTCTCAATGAAGTAATCAATCAGACAGTCTACTAGTGTATGAAAAATGAATACAAGTGACTGAGATTTTTCCCTAGTAATGTAAGGTTAGTTTAACATTTATTTTTGAGGGGTTACAGTGTTGGAGACTGAACCTAGGGACCTATCGAGCTGTATTCCCAGCCTTGATTTAATATTTGAAAAACAGTCAATGTAATTCACACTCTGATGAAAGAAACTAAATGATTATTTCATTAGATAATCTCTCCCTGAAAAAAATTATAGCTGATGAAATTCAAAAGATAATTTAATGAGAAATACTGCAAGCTTATCAGGAACCATGTGATAAACGCCTTATGTGAAAACTCTTATCACTATTCCAGACATGGTGGAGCACACCTGTAATCTCAGCTACTGAGGAGGCTGAGGCAGAAGGATCACAATTTTGAGGCCTACCTGGGCAACTTAGTAAGACCTCAAAATAATAACAATAATAATAATGGCCTCAAGATGTAGCTCAGTGGTAGAAGCTTGCCCAGCATGTGGGGGCCCCTGTGTTCAGTCCCCAAGACTGAAAAGAAAATGGGGTAGTGGGAAGGAGCTAACATCACAGCTGGTAAAATATTAAAGTAATTTCCCCCTAACCAGGCAAAGTGCCCATTCTTACCACTTTTATTCACATTCTTCTAGAAGTCTAGGCAGTATAAGAAGATGGGAGAGGGGAGGATAAAAGGCGTATAGATTGGAAAGAGGTAAAATGTCTTGGCATAGTCAAGTGACTAAAAAATCCTAAGACATCCACACAGTAACTGTGAGAACATGCAAGTGCACATGCCAACGTCTTCAAAGATCAGTCTACTAAAATCTATTGTATTTTAATATAGTGCAAGTCAGTAATTGGAAAATGAAATGTAAAATTTTATTTATAGTAGCATCTGAAAATATAAAATGCTTAGGAAGAAAGTTAATATGTTCAACATTGGTACATAAAATGCTACTAATATTACTGAAGGAGATTCAGGAAGATGTGCTAAATAGAGAAATAAGCCATGCTCGTGGATTGATAGACTTTATATTGTTAAACTGTCCATTCTACTCAGATGAATCTGAAAGATCTAGTATACTCATAATCATTATTCTAGTAAATTTTTTATAGAAACTGACCAGCTTTCGGTTGGGACTATTGGAGATCAAACGCAGGACATTCTGTCACTAAACTAAAAGTTCTTTTTATTTCTTTATTCTGAGATGGTATCACTAAATTGCTCAGACTGGCCTTTAATTTATAATCCTCCTGCCTCAGCCTCCTGAGAAGTTGGGTTTAGAGTTGTACACTACTACTTTTAAAATTTATATGAAAATGCAATGGACCTAGAAAGTCCAAAGAATTTGTTATTGTTGTTGTTTTGAGACAGGGTCTCACCATGTAATTCAGGCTGGCCTTGAACTGTGTAGCCTAGGCTGGCCTTGAACTCGTGGCAGTCCTTCTGCCTCAGTCTCCTGAGTGCTGGGAATGCAGGTGTGTGCTACCATGTCCAGATACCAAAGTAATCTTGGATAAGACTTAAAGTACCTAACTTGAATACTACAATGCCATAGTAATTAAAACAGTAGCAGAATGATCTTGAAACAGAATAGAGCCCAGAAACAGACCCACGTTGTTAATTATGTGTGATCGAGATATATTGTGAATTTAAATTTTTTAAAATTTATTACAGCAAAACTTTGCTATTAACCCCCCTCAAAATATTCCCCTCACTTTGAACACCCCATTGATCTTGCCTTTTTCTGAAGCAGCTCTGGAAGTCCTCTTTCATGAATGTCTTTAGTTGCACTGTCATGGCTGTCTTTTTTTTTTTTCTTTTTTCTTTTTTTTTTTTGGTTTTTTGAGACAGGGTCTCATTATGTAGTAGAGACTGACCTGTAGCCCAGGCTGGTCTCGAACTCACAGCGATCCTCCTGCCTCAGCCTCCCGAGTGCTGGGATGACAGGTGTGTGCCACCATGTCCGGCTGTCATGGCTGTCTTGATGTCCTTAATTGATTCAAAACATTTATCTTTCGTGGTCCTTTTGACTTTGGGGAAGAGCCAGACGTTAGACCATGCCAGATTCCATGAATATGATGGATGAGGCCACGCCGTAGTAATGAACTTGCCTTTATGGTGGATGACACTTAGCAGCTCATTCACTGTAGTTTTTATCACACCTCATAAAGACAACAAGAAAACTTCCAGAACTGCTGCAGAAAATGGTAAGAAGGATGAAGAAAGTGTGTTTGAAGTAAGGGGAGTATTTGGAAGGAAGATTACTGGCAATGTGTCTTTTACATTTTTTAAAATTTTAAATATTCAATGTATATTTCAATCATCCCCTATTTGATCAATTGATTTTCAGCAAAAGGCCCAAAGCAATTCAGCGGGGAAAGAAAACTCTTAACAAATGGAGCTAGACCAACTGGATATCATACTTTTAAAAATGAACTGTGAGAGCCGGGGGTTTAGCTCAGTGGTTCTACTGCAAGTTCAATCCCCGGTACCCACACCCCCAAATGAACCGCAACCCTCATCTGCTACAAAAATTAGAGATGATTCATAGTTATAAACGTAAAATGTATGAGGTAAAACTTTGAAATATAGAATACTTTTGTCTTTGTGCTGGGCAAAAGTTTTTTTTTTTTTAAATATGATACAAAATGCAATAAACTAACAAAAAATAAGTTAGATTTCCTGAAGATTAAAAACTTAATCATTGGTACTATTGAAAAAGTGATCATGAGTTGCCAGGTGTGGTGATACATTCCTGTAATCCCAAACACCCTGAGAGGCTGAGGCAGGAAGATGCAAATTTCAGCCCAGCCTAGGCAACATAATGATTTAGAAAGACCCTGTCTCAAGATAAAATATAAATCCATTTTTAAAAGGGGTGGGGATATAACACAGTGTGACAGTCCTGGGTTCAATTCCCAGTATCACAAAAAAGAAAAGAAAAATGATCACATAAACTATAGACTGAGCAAAGATGTGCAGGTATTCCAGAGGGAAGGTACATAGTCAATATGCTCATGAAAATGTGGTTAAAACATTAGTTATCTGAGAATTACAGATTAAAGCCATGATACACCACTAACCACAAAGCAGAATGTCTAAAATTAGACTCACCAAAAGCATCTGTCAGGCAGAGCTAACAGAAGTCTGATAAATTGGCATTAGTGGTATAAACTAGTACAAGGACTTGAGACCAAGAGTCTGGAAGTTTGGTAGAAAGCCTAGCAAATTCCATTCTGAGGTTGTTACCCAGAAAAAATGAAAAGCATAATCACAAAATGATTTGTACAGACATGTTCATAGTAACTTTATTCATACTATTCCAAAACAAGAAACAAGCGAGGTGTCCAAAAAGAAGAGAGTAGATAAACTCTGGGTGTTGTGTCTCATTCAGGCCATGGCCTACTATCCAGCAATTAAAAAGAATGAATATTGACACACGGTAGGCAGATTATGCTGAATGAAAGAAACCTGATTATGCTGAATGAAAGAACAACAGCGTTCACACTAAAGCGTTCAATTGTATAGAGTTTTAAATCATTCAAATCTCACATGATGAAAAATTCAGAGCAATGATTGCATTTAAGGCATTAGAGAAGGATTATCTAGGAAGGGATAGGAGAAGTTTCTAAGATGACAGTAATGTTGGAATTTGACCTATAGCATTTGTACGCATTTATTAAAATTCATTAAATTCACATTTTGTGCTTGAATATTTTACTATACGTAAGTTTGAGGTCACAGAAATTCCTGTAACTGTGAATTCTAAATAATAATGATATGCATGTTGAAACATTAAGGAGACAGTGCACTGGTCTTTGTCTGCACCTCGGAAATGCTTTAAAAATTAAATGGATGGGGCTGGGGATGTAGCTCAGGGGCACTGTGCCTGCTTTGCAAGCACAAGGCCCTGAGTTCAATCCCTGCTACCCCCCCCAAAAAAAAAAAATTAAATAGATTCATTAGTAGATAGAGGATTGGATATATATGTGTGTGATGAGACAAATACAGTAAATACAGTTCATGTAGAAACCAGGTAGTAGTCACCTATACAGATGCTCACTTAGAATTCTTTAAACTGTTCTCTTTAAATATGTTCATAAGAAAATGTTGGAAAAATAAATACGAATAGAGATAGCTAAAAGATTTAACAGGTTATTCATAGAGAATTGAAATATTAATTAAACAGTATTTATGCCATGCTGTCTGTGTGCTGGGCAGGCTTCTAGCATCACAGCTACAGTGATGCACAAGAAAATATAGTCCATGCCCTCAGAGAACTCAGATCCACAGCCCCTAGCATTCCATATCCTCCATCCCTGTGCTGGTTCAGATTTATCTGTTTTTCCACCATCCCTTATCCCAGAGTTGATATTTTAAATATTCATAGAGGAGATTCTTAGTAACATCTCCAGATCTCTGAGCTTTTAGAATTCATACTTTCAGAAGCCTCTTGCAAAGATTTTTGTTGTTGTTGTTTGTTTTTTGGTACCAGGAATCAAACTCAGGACCTTGTGCTTGCAAGGCAGGCGGTGAAACCACTGAGCTAAATCCCTGGCCCTTACCAAGTTTTGAATAATAATTGTCTTTTTAAAAATAATCTCTTTCCTAAGGAATCATGTTCTTGGGTGGCAGAGACACTTTTGTTAATGTAATGGACGTGGTTCATGAACGCACACACTGGGCTTTCATTTATTAGCAGGTCAGTTAACTTTCACCCCTTCAATTAAAATGATCCAAACCATTCAACTATTTTAAATCATGTTAAGTTTTTAAAAGACATGTCTTTGGAAGGAGGAGTGATTGTGAGCATCAGAATAAAAATGTCATGTTTGTCTATACAATTATTAAATTTGACCAAGTTGGCCAGATATTATCAAATAAGTGGTTTGGATGATTTTTAAGTCAAATATTTTTTCCTATATTATTTAATTTTCTAACCATCTAGTTCCATAGCTCTGTGTGTGTGTGGTTCAGTCTTTAGGACTGTAATAAAAAATGGATTTCAATTATTTTTAAAGTTTATCAGTAGCTGAGTGTACAACACTTGCTATAGTCACAGCTGCTTGGAATGCTGAGGCAGGAGGATCACTTGAACTCAGGTGTTTGAAGCCAGCCTGGGCAACTTAGAACCCAACTAAAAAAAAAAAAAAAAAAAAGTAAAGTTTATCAGTAGCTGAGTGTACAACACTTGCTATAGTCACAGCTGCTTGGAATGCTGAGGCAGGAGGATCACTTGAACTCAGGTGTTTGAAGCCAGCCTGGGCAACTTAGAACCCAACTAAAAAAAAAAAAAAAAAATAGTTCATTAATTTGCTTCTCCAGTATCAGTACTCTGCCTAGTCTTGGCTCAAGGCCTTATTCTGAAGAAAAGGCCTCCAGAATATTTACTGTTCACCCTGTCTACCCAGAAGTCCCACTCGGAAAGACCTAAACAAGCCGGGCATGATGGCACACACCTGTGATCCCAACGTTGCGGATGCTGAAGCTGGAGGATTGCCTCAAGTTTGAGGCCAGTCTGAAGTACATAGTGAGTTCAAGGCGAGCTTGAACTATATAGTGAGACCCTGTCTCAAAAAACAAGAGAAAAAGAAAAAGAAAAAAGAAAGACCTAAACAGACTAAAAGACATAACCTTTGCATCTTACTCAGAGACTGAAAACTCCCAGGGGAGGTGGAATGATGCCTTGACTTCACAAGGAATATGCTTTGCATTCCAAAGTGCATTCAGAGATCTTGAGTTAGTGCTTGAGTTCTGAATATGTAGTTTGCCACTGACACGGATCCTTCTCTCTGATCCAGTTACCCAGAACCCTCTTTCTCTTTCATGAGCTGGCTATCTCTGTGTGTCTAGTGGTTGTCTGATAAGTGCCCCAGTTAATTTGTGATTTGTCTTACTTTAGTGCCTCCTGTAGCTGTTAGCAGCCTCTTCTCTCCAACCCACTTCTCACGGGTGACCTGAGTTTGACCTTGTCCTCTGTCCCTGCTTTCCCTTGTCTGGGCCTCTGAGGCTAACTTCTGACCTTGACTCTGCACCTGGAGGCTCTCTGCTGTCCCTCCTGCCTCCTAGAGCTGACTCGGATCTGAATGAGAGCCAGAGCCTTGGCAGATCCTCATGTTGGGGTGCTTGAGACCCCAGTCGTGTTAATTTTTCACTAAGATGCTTCCCCTGTGAGTCTCTGCCCAGTGCTACGTTCTGTATTCACAGATTACACGCTGTCTCCCCGCCTCATCACAGCCTCTGCCAGATCTCAGTTTATTGTATACATTCAAAAGGATATTACACACTTCTGGGTAAATTATGATTAATAGCAATAAAACAAACACCTTTTGCCATCATGCAGCCTAAGAATTAAAATGTTAATAGTATCTCCTAGTTATGTATTCTTTTATAAGGTATTAGTGACACTTTAATAGCCAGTATCACTCAATGCTGAAAGGTATTTAAATGTTGTCTTCAGATAATTTTTGTTCAGATTATTTCACAAATTCAGATAGGCCATTGGTGAGGTTTTACTGTAGAATTTTCTCCTTGGTCAGTCAAACCTTTCAAACTCAACAGCACAGCCATGCCCAATCTCCTGTGTACAGGATCCTGTTGAGCTTAGCCCTGGACTGAAGGAGAGAACTCTCACAAGCTGTAGCTGCCATCTTGTTTCTGCTCTAGAATGACTACTGAAGGAATGCCGGGACTGAAGATAGAGAGTGTGAATTCAAAGGCCAAGCTGCATGCTGCTCTTTACGAGAGAAAACTCCTGTCTCTGGAGGTGCGGAAACGTAGACGACGGAGCAGCAGAATGAGAGCACTAAAGCCAAAATACCCAGGTACCTGCCGGTGACCTTTCACCAAGCTGCATCATCTGGATTCTGCCAGAGCTTCTACTCAAAACTGAATGAGGCAGAACTCTCCTGATTGAGTACACTTACTTTTGTTAGGAATAGTCCTTCTCTCTGAAACTCAATTTTGAAAGGATTATAAAATTTTTAAACCTTTCATTCTATTAACACTTGTGTCGAAGAATAGCTGAGGCACACGTGTTGACGCTCGCTCTTATTCTGCCACTACACAAATTCCCAAAACTCCAGAAATAAGGTTAGCCTAGCTTGCTGGGCTGCTGAGCATTGCCATTGGGATTTGTGATGACCAGGGAAGTCCAGCTATCCTTAAGTGCTGGAAGGTAGAAGTATTTTAGACGCGGGAATTTCTCACACTTCCAGGTCTATTTTTAACTAACTTCTTTTCTTCCTCCATGTTAGTCTCTGGGATTTCATGGGTGGTTCTTGTTCTTACAGAACTCACAAGGCAATGTTGGAGAAAAATAGTGAATGAACATAGGGTAGAAAGCTATTCTCTTGCTTTTGGTAACTCCCAGCAAGGTTGCTTTTCTGAAAACCTGTAACACAATATATAGTTTTCTCTTGGTGGTTGATAGGAGGGTGGTCTTAGGGTGTGAGAGAGTCATTGGTTTAAGAAATGTCAATTCTAATGCAGCTCACTGATAGGTTTTTAAAAATTAGAGGGTGACATGTAATTGCTGTTAATTTTGTGCCTTTTTTGTGGTTTGATTTAGAATTGGGTTTTCACGTGAAAAGATAAAAGGAAGGTATTGGGAGAGAGGAAATTTTAATCCTTTTTCAGCAACATTAGTGATTCTTCACATTTAGTGATTACCCAACCAGCTGAAATGAATGGTAAAACTGAGACAGAGACTGAAGAGGAGGAAGAAGTTGCTTTAGACAATGAAGACGAAGAACAGGAAGCTTCCCAGGAAGAGTGTGCAGGGTCTCTTGGAGAAAATCAAGGCAAATTTGCACCCTTGTTGACTGTTGGGATAGAAAATTTACCCAAAGAAAATTCTGTGGAAGTTCCTGAGTGGAATAATAAAGGTGAACAGTGCTGCAAGATTGAGACTCAGGAGCCAAAGCCTAAATTTAACCTGATGAAGATTCTGCAGGATAATGGGAATCTAAGGTAAGGTACCCTTTGTAATCATAGTAGTAAAGCTGAGACTAGCTAACTTGTCTAACTTGTCCTATGTACCAAGTACTGTTTTAATGATTCCACAGTCCTCTCCACTTAATACTCACAGAAGTCCTATGAATTAGTGACTACTGCAGTTAGACGCTGCTCTTGTAAAGAAACTGAGAAGCTGAGTAAGTCGTCCACGGTAGACCCACACTCCAAACCCAGGTCTCATTGGCTTAAGAATGTGTGGTGGGCACTAGTGTCGGTCATCAGGAGCGTAAAGTGATGGAGACAAGGTGCTCAAACAGCTTGTCATTTATTATGGGAGACCCTGAAAGAACTGAGGCTCTGACCCCCATAGGAGTAAAGTGCTCTTAGGACACAGAAATCGGAGTATGATAAGAAGACTGAAAACTGGATGTTGGTAGATCATAAAGAGCCTTAATGGGGAAACTGGAGGTTTGTTGTTGTTGTTGTTTGGGTTTTAGGTTGTTTTTTGTTTTTCCTGGATGATTGTTAAGCAGATGTACCAAAAAGTTACATAATGTTTTAAAAAGTAAATTTGGGCTGCATTGTGGGATAGTGCTTGATGCGCAAGAAACTAAAGGCAGAGAGGTGAATTAGGGACAGCTGTGTAGGCATTGACAAGAACAGTGGCTGTAGGGATGGAAAAATTGAGATGGACTGAGGAAATTTGGGAGGAAAGTTGACAGATGGGGTGTTCTACTTGAGGCGCCTGAGTGATGCTGTCGGCCAATACAGGGAGCATAGGATTGTTTCATGATAGAAACTAGGGGTTCCCTTTGGGACTTAACAAGGTGGAAGTGCTCTGGGCTGACCAGTGAAAGTATGGTTTTTCTTTCTGTCAAGGCTGAACAGGATGACACAGTTAAAAGTTAAAGCCTTTGATGTGGATGAGACTGTTGGTTCCATTTAACTTAGCAAGCATAAACAAGGAGAAAAGAAAGAGATTGAAGTCTTGGGAAAAACCACTATTTAATGAGTAGGTCAGTAAAAAGACCTAGAAATAGCAGGTAGCATAAAAGTGGGAGGGAGTAGTATGGTAAAAGCTACAAGATGAGAGTTTCAAGTGTGTAGAGTATCCCAGATTCCCAAGTTAGGATAAGGAGTGAAAAGATTCCTGGATTTGTAACCTAGGAAAGACTGTGTGGATGAAAGAACAATTGTGAGCTGAAGAAATAAAGAAGCAAGTGTGAAGTAACTTTTTCTGAAGATTTTGGCAATGAAAGGAAGATAAGAAAGCATGAGAGAGAAAACCAGCTAAGAGGAAGTGATTTTAAAAAATAGGGATTCTGGAGCTTATTTATAGACTAAGAGGGAGGGCTTGGTGGCCAGAGGATTAGAGTTGCAGAAATGGATATATTGGGAGAGAATGAGTCCTAAAGGAAGGTGGCAAAAGGAAAGAAAGGACTATGGGATAAGTGTGGTAAAGGAGAAGTTGTAGAACAAGGACGTTTGGTATTTATGCATGATGGCCTTTATTTTCAAAATTAGGGGCTGGACCTTACACCAAGATCTGGAGTGTGACAATGGGCCATGGGACGATAGCGTCGGACTATGAGAATGAGAACAGGTCCCCATTCCGTCAGCACGCCTGAGCCCAGGTCTTTTTAGTGCTTCTAGCTGGCTGTATGACTGTAGGCAAGTCAGAGAGCTTCCCTAGTTCTCAGTTTCCTTTTCTGTCAAGCCAAGGTACAGAGCAGATAGGGATTTTCCAATCTATCTCATGGAGGGAAACAAACTTCCAGTGAATTGAAAATAGAATATTTGGGGCCGGGGATTTAGTTCAGTGGCGCTGCGCCTGCCTGGCAAAGTGCAAGTTCCTAAGTACTATTCCCAGTACCGAGAGAAAAAAGAAAAAAGAATATTTGAAAAGTACTGGACTGTATTCTGAGTTCCTTTCCAGCTAAACATTCTCCCTAGCCATGATAGAAATAAATTATTTTTCATAAATCTTAAGGATCTCACTTTCAATGAGTAAACTGTTGTCATTGCAGGGCATATTAGTATAAATCAGCAGCTTTCAGACTGTGTTTCCCGAAGCTGCCCATTGTCCATGGGGAATCCCAGTGGCCCCAAGAGCCCCCAGGGAGAGACAAGGCAAGGGTTTGAGACTGCAGGCACAGACCCCTTGTGTGTGTCATATGCTGAGGACTGTTGTATGCAACCTGTTGGTTTTTAAAAACAAATTCATTTTTATGTATTCATGAACGTCCAAACTTTTGGCTTGCCTGGGTCTCGTGGAGTGGAAAGGAATTATCTGGGGCCACATAGGAAATATGTAATATAGGTAACATATATAAGTAACAAAACTTTTTTTGGGGGGTGGTACCAGAGATCAAACTCGGGGCCTTGTGCTTGCAAGGCAGGTGGCAGAACCACTGAGCTAAATCCCCGGCCCTCATTCATTCATTCATTCATTCATTTATTTATTTATTGGTACCGGGGATTGAAATCCCAGGCCCCCTCTTTTATTTTTTTATTAAAAATTTTTTTAGAAAAGTGGTGCTGAATATGATAGCACATGCCTGTAATTCTAGCACTCAGGAGACCAAGGCGGGAGGATTGTGAGTTCAGTGCCAGACTGAACTATATAACAAGACCTTATCAAGCGGGGGAGAAAGAGGTCAAGCAGCCCACAGGCAGCAAGCTGTGTATGCCTGAAGTCATTCTACTTTCCCTTTCGTTTCAGAGGAGAGAGTTGTTTATTGCAGATGACTAGCTGACCCACTCCTTTGAGACAGTCTCAGAATTAATATCCCAGGGATCTCTTCAGTAAGATTTACAGAAATGAAAACTCAGTACTTTTACAATCGATTTGCAATAGAACAGTGTTTGGAAAGCTCAACTTAGGAGCAGTAATTCCTGTATCCAAAAGACCTTTACATTTCGGTGTAAGGGGGCCAATCCATGCGGTTGAATATTCAGCCACATTGGAGCTATCTAAAGCACACCGTTTCCCATTTGTTACAGTGCTTGTTAATTTGTTGACCGAAGTGAAGGATTTTTAAATTTTATTTTAACTTAAAAATCAGTTGTTGTGAAAGTGTGGAGTTTGTGTAAACAGTCATGGTAGAAGTATTATACACTGCCAGGTCAACAAGAATATAATTGTCTTTGCTATCATTTGGAAATACAAATTCACATTGTGCTCCCTCCCATAAACCATCCCTGTTAGTGACAAAGATCTGGCCTTATTGGAGTTCGTGTTCCGAGGCTGTTATGCATGAAACTCCAGAGTAAATGGCCTCCCTAGCCCGACTCCACTGCCTCCACTCCTCTGGCACAGAGAATTTAGACCAGGACCCTCTTAGGAGTTCCAGTTTTCCCTGGACAGATCCTTTGTCCAAACCTTGGGGGAACAGTAAGTAGAAAGTGTTCAGTGATTGTATGTGTGAGGATTGTAAACAAAGTTTGTGTTGGGCCCCAATCTTCGCTGATGTCATTTTGGCTGCAGTGTTAACAGAAGGCCGATCAGCTGAAGTAACCAAAATCTTGCCTGAAAGAAAACAGATCCGCCACACTTAGCAGCTAAAGTGAAAATCATCAACATCTCTCTGGTACCTCTAACTTTCAAACTATACATTGATCAGATTTCCTTGTTTGCAAGCTAGACCACCAGGCAGAAGATAGATGCATTCTTCAGTGATGTTGCTACAGCTCTTTCCACCGGGCCTAACGATTTTCTTCTTCCCACTGAACATCTGGGCTCGTCCCAGCCAGTCTGTTTATCTCCGCCAAGCTCTGTTGGACCTCATTCATTTGTTCTGCACTCCAGCCACTCCCGACTTGTAGTTGAGAAAAGCATGACCTTAAAATTTGGTCTCAAAAGTTCCTTTGTAGGATTTATCTGTTTCCTGCTTTGGAGGCTTTTGCACACTAGAAATATTAGTTGCCATAGCAAAACCAGTACTTTTGTACTATCTGATCAGTATGTCGTTCAGGGCCTCCAATCCAGGAAACTCTCTCCTCATTACTACAGGGTGTCTTATGAAGACTCAGTCCTGTCCATTCTCCCAAGAAGGTTGTTAAGAAATTCAAAGAGATAACACGATGAGTAGATAACATGAATTTCTAGTCTTGCTTTTTTCCTGTGCTAATAATGCAAAAACAAGTGTGACTCTCCATCTTTGATTTTTTTCAATAGGACAAAAAATTTTTAACCTCATGTACTAATTCGAATGGTTCTTTTATTCAGTGAGTGTGTGATAGGCTTCATGCTCCTTAGCCATCCTAATAGAAGAATCCTGAAAGGCCACTTTGAGAAAGAGAGGTGCACATTTGGAAGGCTCGCCATTCTGTCTCGTAACAGTATGTTGTTTTGGATTTCTATAGCAAAGTGCAGGCCCGAATAGCATTCTCTGCCTATCTCCAGCACGTTCAAACTCGCCTGACAAAAGACAGTGGAGATCAGACGTTCAGTGCCAGTTGGGCTGCCAAAGAGGATGAACAGATGGTGAGGCTCTCCTCATTGGAAACCTTTGACTTTTCCTTTGTCTCTCTCCCCCTCTCTCCTCTTTTCTATTAAAAAGCAATATATTCTGGTGAAAGAATTATTGCACAGTAAAGTTTCTAGATTTCTCTTACTTTAATGTGTGATGCAAAGAAAATCTTTGATCTGGAGCCGTGTTCATTACACCATGAAGGGAGGGCATCATTTATTTCACCCTGATAGGGAAAGTGATTACTCACTGGATGCTAAGCCCTGTGCAAAGCCTCCCAGAAGAATAACAATTTACAGCCTTTTCTTAAGCAACTTCGCATTTTATTAACTCTCTAAAGTGGGAATCATCATCTCCCTTTTACAGACAAGGAAACAGAGTCGGAGAAGAACTAGGCCTGGTTTTCCACAGGTTGTATGCAGTAAACTGGAACTTGAACCCAGATGTTACAGTTGGACATGACTTGCTCTTCCTTTGTTTCTGCGTGGCGCAGGTGTTTATTTTCTCTCCTGAGAAGCACATTAGCCATTTGAAGGTCAACCCCTTGTCATAGGCCCTTTCACAGTACACAGTCCTCCAATTTGACATTTTTTTCTTTACTAGTAATAACTTTATAAAATTCTTATACATTACTGGAATCAAACTTGTATGATCATTTTGACCTTGTATCAGTTATTTATAGGATGGCTTTTCTGTTTTGAATCAAAATGACAAAGATCTTCATGCTCTTTGGTAGGGTCAGAGCTTATAGAAGAAGCTGAAGCCCTTACGTAGTCTCTTCAACAACAGGGATCTTCCACCAAAATGAGAGGGACCCTTAGGTCTAAGAAAGATGCATCCTTTACCTCACTCAATGGTGACCCTACTCATTTTTAGTGCTCACTGTATAAGAGGCAAGTCTGTGTGAGAGGCAGCTTATGAAAACGTGTTGGTTATCCCAGAAAACAACTTGTGAATTTAAAGTAGGCGATACAACTCCGAGATAAACCTTGTGCATTGTGAATAATCCTTCAACCATCAGTGGAAAATGTTAGCTCTGCTCTTTCCAAGTGGAAAATTGAGACTGCTTTTTTGAGAGTCAGTTTGTCTGCTCCTCTGTGAAAAAATTATGTTTTAATATAGCAGTTTAAACCACTCTACAATAAAGACGGCAGAGTAAAACTAGGAAATCCAACCCTCTGGTTATGAGGCTGTTCCCTTTATGCTGGAATAAATTGGCTCCACAGGACAATGAACTAAAATTCAAGAGGGAAAGAAATAGCTTAAAAGAGAATAACCACAGCAACAGCTAGCTTAAAATTTACAGAGGATTTCCATAGGGCTCTTTGTAAGAGTGTGGGATCAGGGCCAGGGATTCAACTCAGTGGTTCCGCTGCCTGACTGGCAAGCGCAAGGTCCTGAGTTCGGTCCCCAGTACCAAAAAAAAAAAAAGAATGTGGGATCACCACTGCAGAACTTTAATACCATTTCTGTGACTTCCTCCTTGTAAATGTATGTAGAGAGCAAACTCTGACCCAGTGGATTTGCTTATGAGGAAGGTAAATGTAGAGTGCCCTTTCTGGTCCAGGGTGGGATTAAAGATTCTTTATCTCATAACAGCAACAGAAGGTCCCCAGATCCATCATTGGCATTGTGTTTATGGAGCAACAATCTCTTTAAGGTCTTGTTCCTAAAAAGTCTTTTCTGAAGCATTTTTTATGCTTAAAAATAACCTGATAGTATCTTTTCAGATTTCAAAATGTTTTCCTTCCATCATGAGTTGTATTCTTTCTTTCCCCCTTAATGACCTCCCATTAAATGGTGCCCTCCAAGCCGCGCATGGTGGCGCACGCCTGTAATCCCAGCACTCAGGAGGCTGAGGCAGGAGGATTGCTGTGAGTTCAAGACCAGTCTGGGCTACATAATGGGTCCCAGGTCAGTCTCAACTGCATAGTTGAGACCCTGTCTCAAAAAATAAAAAAATTTTTTAAAAAAGCTTCCTTATCTTTGGGAGGGGGAAAAGGTCATTAGCCTTCAAAATACTGGAATAGTTCTTTCTTTTCCATTATCAAGCTCCCCTCTCCCCCTTTTCTTTTATTTTTCTGTTTTTGGCTATACTAGGGACTGAACCCTAGTGCAAACTGAGTTGTATTCCTAGGTCTTTTTAAATTTTTTATTTGAATATTGATACAGGGGCTTATTAAATCGTTAAGTTGCTCAGGCTGGGTTCACACTTTCAGCCCTCTTGCCTCAGTTTTCCAGAGTGCTGAGATTACAGGCATGCACCATTATATCCTGCCTTATCAAGCTTTTTAAATGAGTAGTTTCTACTGTTTACCTGTATTCTTCATTGCCCATGAATTTCTTCATGTTCTCCTTCTATTCTGTGTACTGAAAGTGTCCTCTTGAAAGCATCCTCTGAATGGCCATATCCAGGGCCTCATCGTGGTCAGGGTCCTTTCTGCCTCCAGCTTCTTGGAGGCCTTTGACAAGGATGGACTCTTTTGCTCCTTGGTCTCCACAACATTGTTATGCTTCTAATACTCCTGCCATGCTTTTTCCTGATTCTTCTCTGTACTATGTGTAAAGCTTGGCCAGCATAGCCGGGACCTTCTTCTGGGACAGGACTCACTCTGCCTTCAGAGCACGCACCATGTCTGGGGGCAGCATTGCAGGTGGGTGGGAGCAGCAGGTGGCCTGGAGGGAGATGGGCCGGTGGTGCTAAGTGTCTGTACATATGGATATTTCTGTATTCTTTTTCTGCTTTCTCATCTTTGAGAATTTCATTGGCTCTCTAGTTTCTACTACCTGTCTTTGAAGGTTCCCTTCCCTAAAACACTGTAGCTGATTGCCTTTTTAGAAGCCATACCTGCTCTTTGAATGGTGGTAATTCCATTTGCATATGCATCCTAGTACTTTTATAACCACTGTCTTATTACATGGTTACGTGCATACATATTTGATTTGAATTTTGTATTGCTATCTTTTTTTTGGGGGGGGTACTGGGGATCGAACTCAGGACCTTGCACTTACCAGGCAAGCGTGGTGCCACTCAGCTATATCCCCAGCCCATAATTTTCTAATTGTCAGCTTTTGAGAATAAGATTGTTCTGTTTTATCATTCTACATTCTTCTTACATCTAACATGTTTGCTCATCAAAATACATAATGCATCTCTTTTCACATCTGTTTAACCCCATCGTAGCTTGTCTTCTGATGCTAAGATAATCCCTGTTTTCTTTCCTCTGTGACTGTTTAATTTTTAGGAGCTGGTAGTTCGTTTCCTCAAGAGAGCATCAAGTAACCTCCAGCATTCACTGAGAATGGTATTACCCAGTCGACGATTAGCTCTTCTAGAGCGGAGAAGAATCCTCGCCCACCAACTAGGTGACTTTATCGTTGTGTACAACAAGGTAAGTCATTCACCTGGTCATCTTGTGCCTTGAATTGCCCTGCACTGTTGGAAACAGGGTGGATACTGCTTCCTTTCTCTAGCATACCATCCCCAGTGCATTGCTGTTAAAGGGAGTGGGACCTCCCAAACCACAACCCGAGGGTCTGAAAAGCTACTCATTGTGAGCAGGCCTAGTTGCCATACTTAACTTTTTTTTTTTTTTTGCTACCCGGGATCGAATTCAGGACCTTGCGCTTGCAAGGCAGGCAGCGGCACCACTGAGCTAAATCCCCAGCCACTTAACTTTTTTTTTGAGACAGGATCTTGCTGTGTAGTCCAGGCTGGCCTTGAACTCATTATGTATCCAAGAGTGGCCTAGAACTCATGGTGATCCTCCTGCCTCAGTCTCCTGAGTGCTGGGATCATAGGTGTGTGCCACCACGTCTGACTCATAGTTAACTCTTACCAAAACACATGGCATTCCTTTGAGCTCTGCTACACCTGGGATGAATCCTAGCCTACGTGCATCTCTATCGTTGTTATATATATAGACAATGGTGAGATGAGCATTTGAGAGCAGATTTGAACTGTGAATTTACTATGGTGACATAATCTTTTTTCTCAGTGACTTAGACTTGCTTTTCTGAAACATTTTATGCAGAGCATCATTTTATAATCGAGCCCAGAAAATGCGCTGTTTAGTTAGAAGTTTTGCAAAGTATCTTATATCCAGGAGGCTCAGAATACACTGAAAAGTATTATTTTGGGGGGTGCAAAGTGTGCTTAGTTTGCAGTAGAAAAAGCTAAGGCCTGAAAAGTTAAATGGCTTACACAAGTTGCATGGAGTGGTTAGTAGAATACCAGCATGTTAAACCCATGCCTGTGATTTACTCTAGATCTGTTGAGAATTCTATTATATCTTACATAAGTAAAGCATTTATTCAGTTTGGAAGCTGGTAGGACAGAATCTTTCAAGACCTATTTTTTCCTCTTCTAAATGGCAACAAAATACTGTGTCTGTTAAAGCCACATGTGTGATCACAGTTGTTACTAAGCTACTTGCTATAAAAAGTTCTTTTTTCAATGGGCTATGTGAGTAGAAAGTAAAAACATGATAAAAATTTACATTTACTCTGCAACTGATACTTGGGAATTTCAAAACATCTTATGAAATTATGACCAGAGGCAATATATATCAAGTTTGTAGGTGGCAAAAGTACATGGAAGAAATAAATGTCATTGCAAGAAGGACCACTTAACCCTAGAGTAGTAAAAACAAATTATGAAGTGTTCATTTATCAGGAGTCAGTTTCATCTCTTTGTTTTTCTCTGGGCTTGGACTTTGGATAGGAAACAGAACAAATGGCTGAAAAGAAATCCAAGAAGAAACTTGAAGAGGAAGAAGAAGATGGGGTGAATGCAGAAAACTTTCAGAAGTTCATCAGGCAAGCAAGGTAGAAGCCATACTTGATTAGTAGAAACCGTCCAATTCTGTCTTCCATACTGATCACTGAATGCCCAGCTTTCTCCTGTTCTTAACACGTGGATATGAGTGAAATCACTCTCAAAAGGAGAAAAAGTTTCATAGGCTTGGCCTTTCCATATCTCAGCCAGTTATGTTGCTGTTGTCATGGCTTCAGTTATCAAAACACTGCTGCTGGGTGTCTGGGCTGTAGTTCTAGACAGCCTTCAAAGTACACAATACTCAAAGTACTGAGAGAGCCTTTGGAAATGTAAAGTTAGAAGCTTCCAGTGTTTACTGGATCTGAATTTATTCCTGACCTACTGATGCTATGGAGATGACCAAATTTTGCCTACATTGAGTGGGTTGAGGAATTGGCAGTTTCTCAACGCTATGAAGGTTACGCCTCATTTATATAAAACAGAGCAAATTCTTCATGCTTAGGGTTAATGTTTAGGAACTGGAAATCGCAGAATTCAGGTCCCTATCTTGATACGAGATGGCTCTGTTATTCTGTCCACTGACATTATATTTCCAAAGGAAGAGAGAGCCTAGGCACTTAATTTAACATTTTGTAAAACTTCATAGTGAAGGACTTTTTAAAATTAGAGTGTTGTATAAAACTTCTAAAATAAAGGACAAAGCAACTGCAAAACCCCATTAACTAGGTTTCAGTAATCAAATTCACAGTGGGAAAAAAATGTCAACTGTCTGTCATTTGTGAAGTTCAATAAGGTGGTGGCTTACTCAGTATAATATAATTGTTTAATACCTTATACAGACTTTACTGTAGCTTCAGCACATTGTTCTTAAATGTACAGCAAGCAAATACATCATTTTGTAGAAGTTCTAAAATTGTATAGTGCTCCTTTGTTTACATTCTTGGATCTTGAGTAATATGACTGATTAAGTATAGAAACAAAGCAAGAAACAGTTTCTCACATCAACATTATAAAATTAGAAAAGGAAAACAAAACTAAATTATGTCCAGAAAATAGCTCTAATTACCGGTTCCTCACAGAGATTGCCAAAAAACCATTTGGTAAAAACAAACCTTTAAAAAATGATGTTTATCTACCTAGCAGTCTTAACTGGACACTAAAAATTAACCCTATATACTATATAAACTGTTAACTAAATAAAGATTTGGAGATAAAAATCATTGGCTTGGATTTACTATTGATTTTGGATTTAGTATTGATTGCTGAAAAATATTTGGTAGTAGCAGTTCTTGTATTTAGTTAGGGCAAGGACATGTATACCTTCATCAGGGATGGCAGATTCAAAACACCTGTAGGAGCCAGGCAGGAAGTCATAAATGACAAAGTGGGCAGAGGATAAGATAGGTGTAGAGCAGCCTATTTTGACCCACTATGTCCTTTTCCTTTCTGAAAAGGTATTCTTTCTGCAAAGAGCCAAATAAAACCCAGTGCCAGGCAGAGCAGCTGTTCCTCTTGTAACCTCAGCTTTAGATCTGTTGTAGTTACTTGAAGTTCTTATCTTGCATCACTTAACTACTCTGGAGACCTTGGGGTTCGGTTTGAGACTCACAGAGGTGGTCCTGTAGGTTCTCATCGGCATGTGTTCTGAGGATGGATATAGGTCCTTTGCAGTAATGTAGGCATGCTGCACTTACTTGAAGGTCACCTATTCGGAACATGGCCGAGTTTCAAGAAAAAGGCCATATAGAAGGGCGTGCAGATGTAATGGAAACCATGCATGATGTGTGTACTGGAGGAGGGGTCCCTTAGATGTTCATTTATTTCATATATTTTCTATTTTGTAAATCTCATGATAGCTAATAATCTCAGTAATATGAAGTGGCCTTAGAGACCATCTACTGTATTCTTCTAAGTGGGTCGGAAACTCTTCTGAGATCACACTGGTGGGTCTCTTATTTCAGACATAGGCAATGAAAATGACTAGTGGCTGTTTTAGTGAAGTACTTCAGTTGTCTAAAACTAGGGTAGGTAGGCAAACAGGAAAGGACCAGGTAACAAATATTTCAGACTCTGTGGACCATACATATTCTTTTTTACATATTCTTTGTAGTATACGTAAAATTCTTAACTGGGTATCATACAGAAACAGGTCACTATTCAGTTTTGGCCACAGTCGATAGTTTGGTGACTCGACCAAGAGTGAGGCTGTACAGGAGAACTTCCTGTGGGTGACTACTGAGGACCTGAAATGTGTCTACTTTAATTCAGGAAAATAACCTTCCACTTTATTTAATTTTAATATTTCAATTTGAATAGTCTCATATGACTAGTGGCTGCCATACTGAGCATTGCAGATCTAGAAAATTCCCCAAGAGATGAATAAAACCTTATGCTTTAGCTTTTCTAGCCTGCTTCCATTTACATTTTCTTTTTAACAGTCTAAGATTGATGAAGAATTTTCAGGTTGTGCCTCTCGGTTTTCCCTTTTCCCACTTACTCAGTTTGCATAATAAAACCTAGTAGAAAGATTTTCCAGAACAGCTTCCTGTGCTGACCATAGTTTTTCTTCTTATTTCAGTGAAGCTGAGCTGGAGGAAGCACTGACTTTTTATACCCAAAAAAACAAATCTGCAAGTGTCTTCCTGGGGACTCACTCTAAACATTCCAAGCACAGCCAGACATTTTCTGATAATGGGGCAAAAGGTGGTAAGTGTGCAGATCCATTTGTGAAAAACTGAGAAGTCAAGAGGAGAGTCAAGATGATGTGCTGGCTGAGCACTGGTAGTCTCCAAGGTGGTGAAACTTTCCAGTGTGGGCTGGGGAGGGAAATGGGGATAGCACTTTTTGTCCTAAAAGCAGAAAAGGGGCATGATCTTTTTTCCACGACAATTAACAACAGAGAGCTAGTCAGGAAAAGCTACTACTAGCTAATATTTAGTGAACACTTATCTTACTATCTACTGGACTTAATTTTATATTTTTTTACTTCCAAAAAATAGTAGGCACTATTTTAAAACTGTTCTACGTTAGGCACCTTGTTGCTAGTGATACAGTGACCAGAACTATCATAGCCTTTGACTCCATGAAGTTTATTACCCAGGGAGTGGAGTTAGGTGATTGCAAGTGGTCGGTGGAAGCGCTGCAAAGCTCCTATGACGGTGTTGAGAAAGGGAGGCTGAGGAATTCTTACAGTGAGGGTAGGATAGAGGAAAGTGGGCTGACTTGGGAAGGTAGGGCCCACATGGCATTCACACTATGACTTCAGTCCTGGTGCTACTGGGACAGCCCGAACAGTATGCACCGCACGGCAGCACCCTTTTGTGGGATGGGTCATTTGAAATTCTAGGGTTTGTGTATTAATGACTGCCTTGATATTGCAAATATCTATACCTCTTTATCCTTAGAATACCTGTAAATAGTAAGAAGGCCTCAATCAAGGAAGCAGCATTTGATAGTATTGTTTGGACTCATTTCAAACATGTACAAATGCTGATGGTGATGGGCAAGACAGAATTCACATGTTCGTATTCTTTGACTCTGAACGTCGATATGTAAAATAGCCTAGTTTTGTATGAATCTCCTCCTTGATAAGGATTTTGGAGTATTTCCCTAAGTATATGATTACTTCTGGCTGCTCTCTTTGAAAAGTCCATCCATGGTAGAAAAATGATTTATTACAGTGGAAATATATTAGAGTGATTTGGTATGATTGACTTTACTATCTCAAGTAAAAATGAGGTATTTAAGATACAGAGCCATTGTATCACCCAGGTAGTATGCCAACAAATCGTGAGTTTGCTTTTTGTATCTGCCATGCTACATACATGTTATGACTTCTTGGCTGAAGCAGGCACCGTCAGCTGACTGGATCTCTTGTCCCCCTCAGTCTGAATTCCTGGCAGATACATCTGACTGCCTTTATTACCTTTTTCCAGACATGTCCTAGCTTGGCGGCAGTGCATAAATGGCTGCCTTGGTTGAAGTATCTTTCTCTAGCGTAGTTATGTGGATCCGTGATTGGGACTAGCTGAGAATCAGTTTTGTTCTTCTTTTACCTTTTTTAATTAGTATTTTTGGGGGGTACATAATAAATGCATTCATTATTTTTTTGGTACAAATACACATCACAGCTAGATCTTTTCTTGCAGCACTGGGGATTGAACCCAGGGCCTTGACTAGAAGCTACATCCCAGCCTGTTTTATTTTTTATTTTGGGACAGGGTCTTGGTGAGTCACTGAGTTGCCCAGGCTAGACTCAAACTGATCCTTCTGCCTCAGCCTCCCAGAGTGCTGGGATTACAGTTGTGCACCACCACACCTGGCTACATCTGTTTTGTTTTTGTTTTTGTATTCTGCCTCCCTTTGATTTGGTTGCCCCTTCGGCAGGCTGTGGGTGTGACAGTCATGGGAAGTGTGGTGAGATGTGCAGTGTTTCCCAGCATTGATTAGTACCTGTGTTGTGTTTGTGGGAGCACAATTACAGTTTTGATTGGAAAAGAGCCTAAACTCAGTATTTCTTTTTTCTTCTTTCGGATCATCCTGAGACGATGCAAGAAGTAAAAATAAAGCATCCCAAACGCCAACAGGCAACAGAAATTCACTCTTACAAATTATCTTGTGAGTGATTTCAACTTAGCTTTACTTAGATGTGCTACTCTCTGATGAATCTTAAAAGAAAACACTAGTCATCCAGTAGTAAATGTTTATAAAGCATAGAACATTTCCCCAAAGAAGTTCCCTTTCTTTGTTCTGCCTTTTCCCTTAGAAGTTCCTCTTAACTGCTCATTACCTACTCTCCTTCCAAAGAATTTTTCCATTGTCTTGGGAAATTACTTTCTTTTTGCTTAGAAGGATGAAAAGAAGAAGGAGAGGAAATAGGTGTTGCTCACAGAAACAAGTCCTGCTATCCTCTAACATTTGTAAAACATGTTTCCTCACCTTTGTAGAGGTCGCTCCAAGTCTATCTCTTAGAAATAACTCAAAATAAACTGAAACTTCTATTGGCAGGTTGTGTCCTAATAGGCAAAATTAAGTTCATGGTGAGTAATCATTAAAGTTTGTACTTTTCTTGATTTCTGTGTCAGGGTAAGATTATTTTGTTGTTTAAAAAAATGTTTATGTTTTAGAGATTATATGTCCATTTCTCCTAAAGTGATCTGTTTTTGTTCTGTCTTGTTTTGTTCTTGTTTTAATAGGATTTACCACCTCAGCAGAAAAAGAGGCTAAATTAGTCTATACCAATTGTTCCTCTGCTTCTTTCTCTGTTCCTGCCGCTGCTCTTCCACAGAAAATTCCCAACACCCATTTGTCATCCGTTACAACCTCTGCCCTCTCTCTTGGTCTTGGCCACCATCCTTCCTTGTCTCACATTCCTCCAGCTATTCCCAGCATGCCTCACCAGCCAGCCATTTTACTTCACCCTGTCCCTGATCGTGCTGCTCCTTCCATACATCCTGGCACACAGAATGTACCAAGCCCCACTGGCCTGCCACGCTGTCGATCAGGCAGTTACACCATTGGTCCCTTCTCCTTTTTCCAAAGTGCTGCACACATCTATAGCCAGAAACTGTCTCGTCCCTCTTCAGCAAAGGCAGGTGAGTGCAAATATGAGAGGCAGCCTGCAGCGTGGGCTCCTCCTCAGCCTCAGGGAAGAAAAAAATGCCTTCCTTTGCCTTTTCTTTTGGAGGGTAAAGGGACATGCTGCATTGTTCTGCTGTGACTAAAGAAGAGTCTTGTATTTTGTCCAGCAGCATTCATTCCTTGAGACATCTATATAGGACTTCTTTCAGGTGCTGCAGAGAAAGAATTATGGCAAGGCTTCTATTTGGTCAGTGCCTTTAGTCAGATTTCCCACACAGATAATCCTAGAGCTGTGTGCATTTTCTCATTCGAGTAGGCATTCTGATGTTATCCAGATTAGCCTTTTTTATTTTTTTAATGCATGTAATGTCAAGAATGATCTGAATAAATAAAGAATTCTTGGGCTGGGGATTTAGCTCAGTGATGCCAGGCCTGCCTCACAGGTGCAAGGTCCTAAATTCGATCCCTGGTACCAGGGGGAGAAAAAGAATTCTTAAAATAGGATGTTTGATTTTATATGAACTCAGTCAAGTCCCCCTGTCCTTGTTTGTTTTGTTTTGTTTTAGTACTGGGAATCCTACCTAGATCCTTACACATGCTAGGCGAGTGCTGTACCATTGAGCTGTATCTCCAGGACCCCTCCTTTTTAAAAACAGTTTTATCGAGATATAATTCATGTTAATAAAATTTACCCCTTTAAAGTATACATTATAGTGGTTTTAATATATTTACAGAGTTGTACAAACAATGCCACAGTTTCAACATCCCTATAAGAAATCCCCTTCCTATTAGTAGTCACTGTTTCTTCCATGTATTAGTCCCTGGCTTATCTCTGTTTCTTCAGATTTATCTGTTCCGGACATTTTATATAAGTGAAATCATGGAATGGGTAGTCTTTGTGACCTGTGTCTTTCACTTGACATCATGTTTCCCAGGTTCACTCGTACTGTAGTGTGTTACACACTTCATTCATTTTATGGCTAAATAATGTACAATTTTATCACCAGTGAAGGAGGGTTACAATTTCTCCACATTCTTGGTGACACGTAATGTCTACTTGATTTCACCCGTCCTAGAGGATGAGAATTAGAGTCTGTGTGTCTGTATATTTGTATTTCCCTATGGCTTTTGATGTTGAGCATCTCTTTGTGTGCTTTTTTCTTTTTACTTTTTGCTTTTTTTCGTCTGTTGTTTTTGGTTTTTTGGTTTTTTGGGGTTTTTTTTGTTTTTGTTTTTGTTTTTTGGTTAGAGCCTTGCTATGTAGTTCAGGCTGGTCTTGAACTCACTATGTAACCCAAACTACCCTCAAACTCAGCAATTCTCCACTTCAGCCTCCCACGTGCTGGGATTACAGGCGTATCCGCCACAGCTAGCGTATGTGCTTTTGACTATTTATATATATTTGATGCAGAAATGTCTGTTCACATTCTTTACACATTTTATATTGAAACTTTCGTCTTTTATTGAGTTGTAAATATTCTTTATTCTGTATACAAGACTCTTGTCAGATATATGACTTAAAAATATTTTCTCCCTATCATTGGTTATCTTTTCACTTTCTGGAATCTTAGCTGTTTTAAGAGATTTTTCTTTTTTCTTCTAGTTTTGGTATCATAGTTTGTCAAAGTATTCTCTAACTCAAGGTCACAAAGATTTCTGTGTAAGCTTTTTTATAAGAGTTTTGTTAGTCTCTTACATTTTGGTCTTTATCCATTTTTGGTTATTTTTATGTATGATGTGATATAGGGAATCCAAGTTCTTTTTTTTTTTTTTTTTT